TATCGAAGAATATTACAAACTTTATGAAATAACAACACTCAAAATGATAAAAATACGATCATTTTATAATTTTGATACATATTATTTGTACTATATGACAGGACAAGCAGAATAGATTGTAGTTTGATTATATAAAATTCAATTAAACTCGGGAGCGTTCATATGCAATCTATTTATTTTAAAAAAAGTGTTGCCATTTGTATTAAACAACTAAATGATATATGGATGCCCCATATGCAACATTATTTATAAATTTCTTGGTTGTACATTACACGTTTGTAATTATTAAAAAAATATAGTTAATCATCAAAAATAATTTTAGCAAGATATTTTTAAATACATAATCTCTTTCATTTTATATATCTATCTGAAATTCTTACATTACATAATTCTTTTATTTAAATTAATTATTCAACGAATCCTGTAATTTTGGTGTTATAAAGTATTAAATAAATAAATTAATTAACTTTAACTTATAATTCTGTGCTATTCCCTACATTTGTAGACATGTCATAATTCGTAACGGTCAATTTAAACAACAATAAAGTAGACATAATAGTACGGCGGTGACAGCGACAAACATTTTCATTAATAACGAGTCCACACAGAATCCTCTTATAAATATAATAACTGCATTCATATTGTAGAACGAAGCATAACTCATTCGATTAAAGGGAATTCTGCCGTACGCCTGCGGGCCTTTAATTGTACACCAGGATATGACATCCTGACCAATTAACAAAGACACCACAACGCGGATATCTCTTCATAATTATTGTAAAAAAGATGCCAATGGAGAGGGGTCCTCTTATAGTGGTCGTATAACTATCATCTGCACCAAGCTTTGATCTATGTATCACGAAGAAAGTGTTAATTCCATTTTGATGCGACTAATTACCACATTAATTGACCGTGAGGTATTGTCTACTGCATTCAGTCATCTATAACAGTCATTTTGTATGACTGTTATAGAGCATGACTTATTTCGATATATAGTATGACATTAAAAGACGAATAAATATGTTAATACTGAGAGAGATAAGATCATTTGTGGAATTAAACCTTTGGTCAGAGCACCCGTAATAGATTTGTTCTGTGACTCAAAGAAGCTTACAATCGTCACCGACTTAAGTCGTTAGTTCAATCAGACATGTCACTTAGAGGCTTAGGGTATTTACATAGTATTGAAATATAAGGGGAACTTGCTGTCAAAATACCACTTTATCAGACAAACGTATTGTCATAAGGTGGTATTATTTTAAATATATTTTTACTTTGAAAAATTTCTCATTATGGAAAAGTGAATGTCATCATTTATAAAAAAGTATACTTAGAGTATACTTAAAGGATAGTTAGAGGTTTTTGTTGTCATAGTTGTTGGTGTCCATAGACTACGGTAACCGTTTATCATCAGGTGGGACGTATGCTTATTTTCCATTTGCCACCATAGTGGTATAAAAAAATTAGGTGGTAATTACAAAGAAAACTTTCAATCACACAAAAATTGAAATACGATTTTCATATTTAAATAGTTAGTCTATAACAGCTTCTTTCTATAATAGGAGTTAATTGACAATATCTACCAAAATGTAAAATAAATGTTTGACCATATATCATTCCAATTAATAAACAAGATGTATTATATTAATCGTAATACAATTCTATATGAAACATGACCATAAATTGACCAAACAGTACGTATAGATGTGCTCCCTTTTTACATATTACCATAATTTGACTATAAATTCAAAATATTAATAGGGTCGTGTACTCTGATGGTATATTTAGCTTGTTATGATTATTTATTGTAAACTTTCATAATTTGTACAAATAAAATGAGAGTTATACTTATTATCTGTCTTCACGCTAAGGCTAAGGTATACCTTTATAGAGGATTAAGTATTGTAGGTTTTTAGAAATCCCCCACATTTTTTTTTCTTTCATTTATCCGATTTATAATAACAAACAAACTGAGAGCCCATCTAAAAAAAAAAATATTAATCATCGCCTATACATATGAATGGTAGGCACCATGGAAATCAATGAAAACTATGTGAATCATGATAAGCCTTACTGGTACGTGCTGAAGTCTTCAACAGATCGATAGAAGGTCAATTTGATATGAACAAGCTTCAATTTTCTATTTTATTTGCGATATGTTATAAAAATATAAATTTAGACGAAAGAGCCATTGCGTTAATCCATTTATTTATTTTAAAGTTGTCCGTTGACACATTACAGCAAAAGTATTGTTTTTTAAAGTAAATAGAGCAATCTTATGACATATCCGGTGTTGCCATCCTTCGCTTCATACTGTACGCGACTTTTACTCTCAAGTATTGCTTTTGATGTCTCTATACCCTCTAATTTCACTACATTGTCAAATAGAATGAGCTGTGCAAGTACATAAAACTAATTTATTATTATAGCTAAAAATTTACTCATATTACTGATCTGCGGTTTGAAGGGTAGTATATCATGGTAGAGAAATTAACATGGTACGGAGGCACAACACCTTGGTCCTTACAAATGGTAACACGAGAAAGGGACCTTGGGCTTTATATTCTATGATATCAATGATATATGTGTTTATAGGGGACCGTTACCACCAGAAAATGAGAAATGAGTCAGCTGTTCCAAATTATTTATAAAAAATACTCATATTCATTATTTTATTGTAGTACTATAACTTTTGATTAAATTCAATAATATATTTAATTTTAAAAAGTTTTCCATACTGAGAATACAGTTGGGGAAACCTAAACATTTTACTGAACTAAATGTTATTTTGCGAATATTCATATCATTGGTTAGTTGATTACAATTATTTTGTTTAATTCCGCTAAAATTAGTATGTGTGCGACTGCTAATATTTAAGGATTGACATTATTGTTATTATTATTAAATTACATGACCTTTCATAACAAAACTAATAATAATAGTCAATTCTCAAATATTAGCAGTCGCACGCCTACTAATGGTAGCGGAATTAAACAAAATTATTTTAATCCGCTAACCTACACATTTGTTCCGCCCCTTAGATCTCTTATCCCGCCTTACCCTAGACGATGATTACCAACTTCTATTTTTTTTTATGGATGATAATGGAATAGTAGCCCTGTCTACGCTAACGGTATGCGCTGACGGGATACCAGTGAGGGATGAAAGGTGGATAATGAAAAAACAGGTCAGTTGGTCATCGTGATGAAGACATCTGAAATTCAGCACGATGGTTTTCAGAGGAAATCGCGTGGAGGCCAACCTGACAGGGTATATTGCTAGCAATAGTACTAGTAGCCTGCATTACTGACAATCCCTTCCCTCCACCAACTTCTATTTGAATATCTTGTTAACTGCTAGCAAATATCCCGACGATGGGAGCGATGTAGCGCTTTATCTCTTTAGCATAGGTGCCCGATGCTGTATGACGAATTAACATTATGTATAGTGTATTTCTGGAGCACCCTGTATGTTTCAGTACGCCCTTAGAGATGTAGAGATAATTCACGGACCAGCATCGATAAACTGGCGGTAGAATAAGAAAACGAGTCTGTTGCTCCGTCTTCGATGTGGAATACCGTTAAGTCTCAGCCAATAAGGGTCTGGAAGTCCCTACTCGTCTCCCTTGAGCTAGTGGCTCTTTATGATGGATTTCTTTTACATAAATAATAATAATTTTTTATTCAAATAAACTCAATTTTAAGCATTTTTAAATAGTTATTTTTTATTATTATACCGGTAAAAGGTCTTTTTATAATAATTTGTTAAAATTCTAGACCATAATTTTGTTAGAGACAATTATTATTTTTATTTTATATAAAGTAAATGATAGTTTATCTATAGAGTATACATATATTTTTATTTGTAACTTCATACAGAAAGCAAAGGAGTTCTGGCAGCGTTCACACAGCGTCAGACTCCATTGCCCCCTGCTGGGCACCTGGCATTAACGACTAATAGCAGCATGTTAATCGACAGGCGATCATTGTCGGCGATCGCGTTTAAAAAAAATAGAGCGTCATACGATATAGAGATAAAATTCGTAATCCGTTCCACGTATAGAATATCGGAGTGTTCAAGATCACGTGAGTAGCATTTTGGAATGAAGGATAATGTTTTTCGGGTGTACGTTATGTAAGTTAGATATATGTTTCAATTGTGGAAGTACTTTGAGCTATGCAGTTTATTTATATCGCCATTATCCACAGAATCTAGGTAATATACAAACGACGAGAATAAACTCAAAAACGAGCGAAATTAAAGAATTGGATTTCATGTGACTTTATTATACACAGACAATTGTTATACATATTTTATATATATTTTTGCACAAAAACAACAAAAGAATATATGTAATCCTTTTTTTACCTTATTGGTCGAAATTGTTGATGTATCTCCAATTATCTTCCAACAAATCTAAGGCATTGGGAAACCTTTTTATTTCAAATATTTTTTAGGATTTATATATGCCATTGCCATCTAATATTGAATAGGGAAATTAGACACAAAAATATGTCTACTCACCGGTAGATGTCGCAAATTGTAGTAACATGTCTGGGCAACTTAGAATAGACAATGTATTGACACTATGTAACCAGTTAATGGAATTAAAAAATTTACAGTATTAAGTAACTAGGTCTTTTATGAGAGGTATTGATAACAATATTTTGAACAAAACTATAAACAATATGAATAAGATATACAACATAATATTTTTTTTATTGTTTAATGTTTTAATACTTTTAACTGGATTTATACTCTACATTTTTGTTTTGACAGTGAAGCTCGCTGTGTTGACTTATATATAACGTAAATCACTTGATCACTTGTTCTATTTTGTGATAACTTTTTGAAATAGACATTTCATAGATAATTATTTTAATAAGTATTGAGTAATTTATAATTAATGATGAAATAAAAAAAAATTCTATACTATTGTAACTTTTGAACATAACCATGAATTGTCAAACTGACATTGACATAATGACATAATTCGTTATTCCTTCACTTGCTTTGTTTATTTGCTTGTCATTTCATTAATATATTTTAATTTTTTAGAAATGTTCTAATTTTTTTCTTATTAATTCATATAATAAATAATTATAACAAAATAAATATTAATCAAAAATGTAAATGTTTCCACAAGTACTGAAAAATGGTAATTTAAGTTTTAACAGTTGTATGAGGTAATATGATTAGCAGCTGATTATAAATAATAGATTACAATACATTTGAAATTATGAATGTATTAGGATTGAGATTAACGTTAACGAGAAAACCCTGTAACCGCTTTCTCAATATTCTGAAAAATGCTAAGTTTACACCGAATATCGCCTATTATTATGCTACTATAGATCCTATAGATGCATTTACCAATGACTTGATACAGCGATCCAAAATTGTAAATAGAAACAATGTATTTGACTTGAACAGCACAAGCACAAGGGGTTTTGCAGAGGCTGAGTCACCATACCAAGATATATCAAAAATGACTACTGAGGAATTGGATAAAGTGGTTTTACAACTTTTATCTAAAAATAAAGACAAACATATAGAATACTTGGTGTTAGATTGTATTAATAACCGTAAATTCATTGGTGGACCGACTTTAAAAAAGCTTTATAGACATTACAGTCTTGCAGGCAAACCTGACATTGTTATGATACTCCAAAAGTATTGCAGTAAAGTCGACCCTTATATAAATAAACGCAATGGAGGTTTCCAGCATTATTTAGCTAAGGCACAATGCTTTAAAGGTAATTCAGAAAAAGGTCTAGCAATTTTAATGGATGCATATAAAAATAATGAATATTTGAGGACCTTTTATAGATCCATATTCAAAGAACTCATTCATGATTCAGTACTGAACAGATCGGAGGCATCATTAGTGATATTTAAGAGATATGTATTAGAAGTTAGTAAAATTTGGGATGATCATTACCCGTTGGTGTGCTTCTGGCACATTTGTTGGTCAAGCACATGGTTTTCTGATCAAATGCTATCAAATGACCTTTTAGAATGTTCAGAAATGCTTCAGAAAATTGTTCAGGATAAGTAAGTGTTATATAATATTTTTTTTTATGTAGTCCTAATTTTACTTGATGGAAAACATTTTCCACTAGCTCAAAAAGAAGGTTTTTAATTCAGTTGTATTTTTTTTATGTCACTGACTAACTCTGTCAATTTTAAACCCTAAAATTATTTTTTCTATCTTAAAGGGTATACTTGCCAATTGGTCCTATTGAAATTTTATCAAAATTGGTTCAGTAGTTTAGTTTTTTGACTAAAATAACTGGTTTTGTCTCTATTGAAGTTGGTTTTTGTTTTTGGGGGACACAATTTTAAATAAATAGAAATAGCACTATGGATATTACAGAATACAATGTGATATCTATGGGAGGATACCATGGGTGCCTCATGTCTTGCCATTTCTGAGAATTAAGTTAATATTTCATACATGTTACTAAATACACTTTTTAGTATACTGAAAAATATTTTATGCCTCTATAATCTGTATTTTCATACATCTCTCATCTTTCAAATCGAAATATAGACAAGCATATGGTAACTGAAATATGCGTAAACCAAAAGTACATATGTCTTCTGTACAGTAAAGGTGAAAGGGATTTTTAGCTATGGGGTCTAACAGCCCCATGCTGGCAATATACCTCATCAGATTGATGTCCATGTAGTCCCCCTGGTAATCATTGTAATTGTTATTAAGTCAGAAGTTAGTTGTGAGAATAGGCTGATTTAACTCATCTTTTCCCATCATGTCTCATTGATGCCTTGTCAGCATATATCAATAATGCAAGTGGAGTTACTATTCCATTTTCACTCATTTCTATACAGTCTTCTAAATTTGTTTTTACATTGTTGTCCACAAGTAGTATGGAGTTTTAAAATATAGTTTTAGAATATGTTACAACTTAATGTTTACATTAAGTTGTAACATATTCTACATACCTAGTTTCAACTTAACCATATTAATAATGGATTTAAATATTTGTATTAATACTTACTTATTTGAAATGTAATATATAAAAATCGCATGTCACTGTATTTGTAGTTCAACTTGTCCAAAATTGGGTGGAAGAGAACATAGAATTGAAAAACTTTCAAAGAAGTCTTTGAATAATCATAATTCCCTAAAAATATGGATTTAGGATATAATCAATTTTAATCAAATATATTTTCAGAGCTACAGCTTTCACCATCAGCATTTTAAAACAGGAATATAATGAAGATGCAGTAATGCGCCTGTTACAAACACTACTCAAATATAAAATGATGTCGGAATATGTCAAAGTTTTGCAAATTCTATTCAATTATAAATGTAAGTATAAAGTAGCATAAATGAACAATCATACTATTCTATGCATGAACATTTACAGTAGTTAAAATATATATAGATATATATTTTTAATTAAAAACATTTTGTTATAAAATAGGTAACTTGATTATAACATTTGCCATAACAGTAAAAATTGGCAAAATTATTATACATGTAGATGTAATATAAACAATAACTGTGCTGCTAAGTTAAATAAATTTGCTATTAATTAATTGATTTATAATAAATTGGTTACTAATTCACAAAATTTATTTATAGTAAGCCCTCATCAGCACAGCAACAAACTTTATTCGAAAACATCATTGTAGTGCTGTTTTTGTAACTAAACATTCTATTTTCTCCATACACTTTTATGAATAATAATTTGCATAATTAATTAGCATCATCATATCAGCCTTTAATTGTCCACTGCTGAACAAAAATATAACTTATGTTCGCTCTCCCTTACTCGAATAGTTCATACATTTTAAAAAATTAAATCTTACGACTTACGTTTATTAAATTACGATAAAAAGCCATGTTTTTATATTCAGATAGTAATATAAACAAATAATGTTTAGAATCATTATTGTAATGAAGTACCTACTTTGGATAAATTAAGCCAGTATTATCAATATGTACTACTTATATGTGTAAAAGGTCACTGCTCTCAATATTGTAGTGCTGATTACGGTCTCCATGTAGGTACTTATGGATGAATATAGCAGCTTTTATTCGGATATTGTTATTTCTAACGTCTACAATGTTCTGAGAAATTAAACAACTTGGTGTTTTCATCACTATTTTACCATTGCACTGCTCACAAAATACCTGGATCTCGTGCACATTTTTTTAGAACATGGCATACTATCAATAAGCGAGTGGGTGCATACCATACTACCACTGAGTAAGTGGGTGCGTAGCATACTATCTGAGAATCTGGGTTGTGAAATGGGATCCTCTCTATCATTATAATTTCTTACCACAATATGAGGCTTTTAAAAAAAATGTGCCACAAGTATTCAAAAGACCAGCAACGCACAGAAAACACCCCTCTCGTGTTGCTAGTACTCGTAGGAAACTGTAGCCGCTTCCTATCAGGTGAACAGTTTGCTCTTTTCCCTTAAAATTAAAAAATTAAAACTATTTGGTTTTGAAAAAAATAATTCTTTTTTACATAAAATTGTGTACTATTATATCCTATATGATTGTTTACTACCTTCGTGGTATAAAAAAATATTCATGACTGTTTTTCTAAATAAAGAATTTGAGGATTTTATCAATTGTCACCATTGTGGTAAACATAATTCTCAACAAGTCCATATTTTGCTGATCAAATTAGAATTTAACAAGAAGGGGTCGAGTCTGCCGCCATCTCCCGAATTCACTTGATTTGTTAGCAGTGTTCTCCAGTACCGTAGAGTTAGAAATTGATTGACTATATTGACACACAAGGATTTGGGTGTTGGCTAGATTTGAATTCAATGATTTTTTTTCTTTTCGTGCCTACCCTAATCAGAATAAACGTGATGTATTTTTTTATGGATGATAATGGAATTTTAATCCCAGCTGCGCTAACGGTATACTGGTGGGGCACTAATGAGCGATCATAGGTGAGAATGAAAATACAGGCCGATTAGCCCATCGTGATGAACACACCTGAAATTCAGGATGATGGTTTCCAGGGGCGACAATAGAAGGTCGACTTGATAGGGCATATTGTTAGCAATAAGACTGTTGTTCCACATAACTAACTATCCCTTCCCCCAGCGTGATGTACTTACATCTCGTGTTAGTATTGTTCTGCGTAATATGTTCGAATACTATATTTTCCATAGTCAACACAATATTCCATACATTGGGATAAGAATATTTGACGAGTCATATGCTCTTTTGTCATTGTTGTTGCCCTAAAAATAAATAGCTAATGAGGAAGTTTTTATTAAGCGTATACACATAACATAGTCCTTTTATCAGAGCGCTTATAAAATAATGTTTCTAAAATAATAATTAATCTCTGCACATGTTTTTGTCTGAATTTGTAAACGGTGGAATTTTCAATACTATGTTATTGTTGAATGTAAATAATTATGTTTTTGTTCTGTTTCTAGTTAAGATTTATACTGTATATATTGACAATATAACGTGGAAAGATAAATATTAACAATAATATCATATTATTTTCAGTAAGGAATCGTGACTTACGCGGTTGTACTGAAATCATCCGAAACTGCGACGCATTAGGTGTGAAATTACCAGCAGATCAACAAGGGAGATACATTAAAATGTTAATAGAAGGAAAACAACCAGATCCCAGACAACCAACAAAGAAACATACTTCAAATTACTTCAAACTCAAATTTTAGCATTTACAAAGAAGTTGTAAGTGTATCTTATGTACATATGTACAATAAATATTTTGTTACGTTCTTGTTTTTTTTAATGAAATAGACATTTAGTTCAAAATTTACATCCATCTTTGTGTATATTTAGCTTCTGTAAACTCTGACGATCTGTCCGAGTGGCGATTTAACACACTGTCTCTTCCATTGGTCGTGGATTCGATGTCCACACATTCTAAACATTTGTATTTATGAATATGCCTACTTGTATTGATCTGTATGTTTGCTATATACAAAATGTTTAAAAGTTGTTTAGTATCTAGTATTTAGTGTTGATAGTACAAACTCTGCATAATCCCACTAGATGGCGCTATGATATATATTCAATCAAATGGTATTTATTTATTTAGTTGCAGGTTTATGAATTTTCCCATAATTTTTCCCACAAATTATCTCATGTTCTATTATGCCCATGGTACTCTTTATGTCTACAAGTGATGGTTACCACTTTCTATTAGATGGGCTACCAACTTGTTTGCCATTCTAAGTAGCATAAAAAAAAGTAGAAAGTCCATTATGAATAAGGTCAAACTGCTTCTGTTCTTAGTGAAATATCTAATTGTATCAGGTAGGCATAAATATAACGAGTTACTTAAAGTACAGTAATATGCAGTAATCTTCTCACCATTATTCTTTATAACCACTCTTTTTTAGAAGTGCTTTAGGTTTTAGATTGTCATTTTGAATTCGAATGTAGTATAATAGAATAGAATAGAATAAATGTTTTTTGTGAGTTGTACATCATAATAATTAGTATGATGCTTATGACGTCTTAAAGGAAATTAACACAGTCTACCCATATATTGGGCATACAATACAATTACATAAGTTTTCTTATTCATGTCATTTTGAATTTGAATTCAGAACGCCAATGACTATTGCGCAACAATACAGTCTTTAAAATATATTTGTAATATACTACATTGGGTATCATTATTTAATGTTATAATCAAATATTTTAATAGTGTTCGTTGAAATCTCACAACGGAAATGGTATTTAAAATATTGTTGGAAACTGGATATTTCTAGAGCCTCATTATTATCTATGCTTTCCGAGACTACAGGCAAATATTAACATAACGGGTTTCAGTAGCTGTCCTTACATATCCCTGCTCAAACGTTGCGCATATTACAATTGTGCATTTGTATTGTTTGATAAAGGTTTCAGCGTCTGCGATGTTTCTGATCTACTTAGAGATGTTTATGTTAATAACGAATGGAAAATTCATTAATGGAATGTGCCAACTTCATAAGATAATATTGATGACAAATTAAAATGTTATCATGTTATCTATATTACAGTTCTTAAGCAGAAACTTACCTGTGTATCACTTCTAAATAAATTAAGCTTATTATAGATATACACGAGTCTTATGGTATTAGATAGGTAGTTGGTAATTTATGTTGGAATCGTAAAATTTTATCGTCATAAGGAACGCAATCAAGAAGCATCATTGAGCAAATATTACGTATTACATGGAACCAGTTTCACTTGTTAGCACCTAATAAAAGTTTTGACGTCATAAATGACGCATTTCCTTTAAAATGAATACTCACGTACGACTATAATTCTTAATAGGGTAGTCAGAGACATTTTTCGACTGTTGGTGTTATAGTAAATATAACAAGAAGGCCCAAAAAGTGTCCAATTTACAGAAAATGCTAATGAGGGTACTTCTTAAAAGAGAATTTATAAGAGTGGTCGTGCATTAATAGCGCACATAGTAAGCTTTCATTGTTGGACTACTTATTTTGTAGTAAATAAGACGGAAGATGGCTAGTAAAATTTCACTATGAAATTTTTAAACTTTCTATCTTGATTTATACATTGAAAATGTCTGTTAATCGGATTTTCTTCATATGTTCTTTACAGACTATTGCAATGAAATATATAATTTTGTTTGAAAAGCAGAATGACGGATCAATGCATCCGCGCTCGAACCGTGAATTCGTTCCCACCAATCTACTACAAGCACGACCCGTCGTTATCCATGTTCTTCACTCCATATCTCGTCTAAAAAAAACTATAATTCAATTATTTATAACAATAGTTCGTTTAGCTTACTTATTTATAATAAAAAAAGTAATATTATATTCATCAAGAATGGGACCAGCTCCCAGAAGAAAACCATGCCATGCCGGACCACACAACCAGAAAATGCCGGCCCTGAAGCCAATGAAACCTGCGACTCGGAGATTGTCGCTCACGATACTGAAACTGGGATATGAAGAATCTCCTTGAAGTCACAACCTGAGCCCATTTCGGAGGCCTAAGAAGATCCGTTGTCTTTTTAGCTTAATCCATGTCATGTTTCCGAATCGTCTGTCAACAATAATACTTCGCGCATACTGCGCAGTGCGCACCCTTTTGTGTGCGTCTGAAAATACGATAAATCACGAATGGTTCCAGGCGCGATTTGTAATGTTCGTAATATGCGCGTGCGCAAGGCGTCTAAACCATGATAAATTGTTACAAAGTTCCCTTTCATAATATATTGGCATAATGTAGATGTAAATCCTTTCCATTCATTATGTATGGAAAAAATATGCCATGTAACACGCATGGTGCATGTTACATGTCATATTACATTGCACCGATCTGTATCCGCTATATAATAAATTGGATTATACTAATAAAAATTTCAAAGTTCGTCGTCTAGTCATTTTGTTATCGGAAGGACTACCTATCAACGATTAAAAAAATATTTGTACTAAATTAGATACTAAGGTTATCTCGGTCAGAACATACGTTACCATAACGTTATGATTAATCTACAATTAAGGACAACGTCTTTGTTCATATGTAAATATTATAATTAACATTACGATAGTACGCACTTATTTTGTTACGCTTTGTATTTAGCCGTTTGTCAATAGAAGTAAATATTTTTAAGATGTGGACATATTTGTAAGGAGACATGTCCGAATATTTAACTATTTCCTCTATCTATTTCTTTAAATTCAAAATGTCGACTGCTCTAAGAGTCTAGAAATATTAACGATCCTCTTAACTCAGTTTTTGTCGCGATTAAAAAGTGGCCAGTAATAACGAATTTGTAGTAGAACTGTGTAATAACAAAATGTGGTCTTCTCAATGATGATGCAAAGCTTTTTTTAAATGGATAGATAATGAATGATGGTGGTTACGTTGTTGGTTTACGTTGGTGAAGCACTAGCCAGGGATGAAGTTAGGTAAGTGGGCACATAGTGGTGAATTCACCTAGACCACGGTTGACACTACGATGTCCCAACTACCCTGGATATATTGCAGGCTATGGAGCTATTCCTCGTTATTACCAATCCCCAAGCTTGGTTTTTACCTACGACTTTTAATTTTCAGATCATTAACAGTTTCTAGATGCGCAGTTTTGTACAACGGTTAGACAGTCTAAATAAGTATTAATAAATAATTACATTGCTCACATAAAATTCCCACGTAAATAGGTACATATTGAAATAAGTGCTTGCTATGTAATAAAACACTTATCGTATTCGTATTTTCTTTGTTAATTACTAGCTATAATTCACTACTGATAATAGACAGACGCATAAATAATATAATAACATAATACTTTCTCATTTGTATGTATGTACATAAATAATTCTACAGTCGTCAAATAAAGTTGGTAAAATTATTTTCCTGATTTATATGGAGCAAATATGGAAATATTTTTATGAGACTGATTAAATTTATTTAAGCAATATATATTAATAAACAAAACAATAAATTAAGTAAATTACCTACTGTTTTTTATCATCAGACTACTTAAGACAAATCCTAGACACGTTTCAATGCTGCGGAGAAACGAGAAATGCATCATAATATTTTATTCGTCCTATACTCTGAAAGTATCCATACATATTTTTTTACGGTTCTTAGAATGACAAACAAGCTGATAGCCCACCTGATGGAAAGTGGGACCCGTCATCTATAAACATGAACAACATCATGGGCATTACAGAATACACTTGAGCTCATGATATTCCTCATGCGTAGCCATTTTTTTTATCCAACTTAGAGCTAAAGAAGCTGACGGCTCGCCTAATGAAAAGCAGTAACCGTAGCCTATAGACATATACAGTATGATGTATATAACACAGTATACTGTTTCGCCCATGATACCCACCATATGTTGCCATTCCATAAAAATAATATATGCCTCTGTATCCTGTAAATTCACTGCCATATCCCACCCTTCAAACCGAAACACAGCCATGCAAACACGACTGCTTTACGGTTGAAACACGAATGAGACAGAGGTAACCAAGCAAACGGCTTTTGTGCAGTCTCCCTCTGGTAAGAGGGAAGAAGTTCTGAAGACTACGATGTTATGACTCCGTACACTGTAATTACATAAATTATACTATAATAATAATAATGATAATTACGATAAAAGTTGCAGTATACTTGCATTCCAACCTATATATTTATATATATATTACTAACTATATATAACTATAACATATATAATATCTAATAGAGGTAATCTATGGAAATATATATATATATATATATATATATATATATATATATATACATAACTATATATTTCCATAGATTACCTCAAGGAACGGTCCTGAGATACTTGCGTTAATCGACTCCCATCACCACACTTGAGTTCGCTGCATCTAAAGAGAAGTCACTAGTGCTATAAAAAAACTTAATTGATTCAGCGCCATTGTGGAGACATTACGTGGAATAGCTTCTTAGGAAGAATAGAAAGGTAAATAAAACGTAGAATGCAGATGATGCTACTGCTTACTATTCGACTCTATTTTTTTTAGTTAGTGATAATGATATGGTATAATGATAAATTCAGCACGATGGTTTCCAAGGGACCACGTGAAGGTCGAACTGACAGGGTGTATTCCTTGTAATAGGACAGAGAGTTCGCATTACTAACTATCCATTCCCCCGATTCTACTCTTACTTGCAAAGGAAATTTTGTTGAATCATAGACATTATCAAGGCGTATGAAGTTTTTGCCAGTTGAATGTGACTGTCAAAGTATCAAAGATCTTGTTACACTAAAAATATTTCACTATGTAAATCGTCATGTCGCTAATGCACGTGCCATGTCCCTAGTATTGCAAGTGTTAGTAGGCTACGGTAACCGCTTACCATCAAGTGGGCTCTATGCTTGTTTGCCACTTTAATGGTATAAAAAATGTATTCAAAAGATTATTTCATTGTATCTTTATATCCAAGAACAGTTGTAGTCATATTTAATATTTATGCGGCTTTGGGGAGAAAGGGATTGTTAGTAACGGAGACTGAAAATCCCATTGCTAGCAATATACCCAACCAGATCGACCTCCTCGCGGTTCTCCCTGGAAACTATCATGGTTAATTCCTGGTGAATTCATCATGATGGGCTACCTGGCCTGTTTTCATTCTCATCTATCACCCTTCACTGGTGCTCCGCCAGCGTATCCCGTTAGCGCAAGCGAGGTTACCATACCATTTTCACCCATCAAAAAAAAAGTCTAACTGCGGTTGCTAACCCGCCTGTCTAGCGTGGCAACTACTGGCAAAACTCCTCTTATGGGAAAGGCTTATGTTCAACAGAAGTTAATGGCTGATATGAAACTAACATTCGTAACTTTAAATGTGTATAATAATATAAGTACTGTGAGGTTCAAAGCATCTTTTTTACATAATTACTACCGGTAATTAATTATTTTGTCTCCTTTCATCGAAAACTTTTTTTCATCAAAGTTTCTTGACAGCAGAATAACTTATTGTTAATTTATTTGTTTTACTAGTTTTCTTTCTTTTGTTCACGATACAGGCTTATGTTTACAGACATAAACTTGAGCTACGATTTCATACTACGAGTTCGTCAAGGAATAGTATCTAAATATGTTTCGCATAGAGTTAATAAGTATTTTTAAGGTCATCAGAAATATCCGAGTATATATGTAAAATAGTAGTACGTACTTAGAGGTGCCATATATAAAATCTATGAAGCACGGTTGTATTTGTATGGCTGTATTTTGTTTCGAAAAGTAGGATTAACCTTTTTAGTGCCATTGATTTTTACTCATATCTACTTAAAAATGCCAAAGAAATCTTTGTTGTGTTGATGTCATTTACCCTTGTCTCTAAAAAAACTGTATCTCCTCCAAAAATTATCCAATTTTAATATTTTTTTTACAGCAAGCTAAACAGCGACTGGTTTCACGAGCACTATGACGCTCGTGACACTTTTAGTTGTAATGCGCACGAGCGCGATGGCGCTCGTCGGCACTCAAAGGGTTAATTATCATCATCATCATCATCATATCAGCCGTTAACCTGTTTATTGCTGAATTAGGCCTCCCTCATAAGGAGCTTTTGCCAATAGTTGCGACGCTTGGCAAGCGAGTTGACAATCGCATTTAGCTGTTGATGATGTTTTAAAAGGAACGCTGCTTCCCATTCCTCGACCTTTTCTTAGTAGAATTAATTAAGCACTGAAATAACTGGTGTGGAGGCATAACACTTTAATCCCATGCTTTATAATTTAGGTATTTCGAACTATCCGTGATGCTGCTCATGTCTATAGGCTACTGTTGTTCTTTATCGTCAGGTGGGTCCTTGGCCTATTTGTCATCCTGAGTAGTAAGAAAAATATTAACTGGATAGTTTCTTAATAAGTACAGTATTTCGAGTACCTTCCTATCTTAGATTTTGGAAACTTTTATGTTCATGGTTAAAATAACCAATTGTTACCATTTCCTTACGCAACAATCGTTGACCAAACCTGTTGGTCATTATGGTACTACTCTTTCTAATCGTCTAAAGGTAAAGATAAAGGCTAAATTAAGTTTGGTGTCAAAAGACATTTGGGCACCTTTGTGCGTGAATACTCTGGTGTGGCTTATCGGAAGACGTTTTTATCTGCCCACCAAGGCATGAAGCAAAGGACAATCATTTTTAAATAATTTAAATAGGAATTCGACTCCGATCTGGCCTGTTTGATACCCATCAAAATAATCTGCATATCTGATAGAAAAGCCTTGGTCAATTCATTATCAAGTTTGTGACACGTTAGACGATGCGCATTATATACTGTTAGAGTGCTGTAAACGCAGTAAGTAAGGAACTCATGCGCTATTTTCCCCTAAATAAATTACTAAATAAATAAATACTGTTCTTATTGCATGTAAGTAAATTAACTAGACCTAAATCAAAAATCTTGAACATCTCTGCAAATTATAATGCCCATTAATTACTTTATTTCCGTAGTCGGGCAAGATAGCTAAGATTTATCTGAGAAATCATGGTACGAGAGGGTTGATATATACATATCTGAGGAAAGTTAAAAGCCCTTAAGAAAATTAAAAAACGTATGTATATACACTTTAAATTCTAGAGGTTCAGGGTGGGTTCCGATCTTATTCTCTGTCTCCTTTCCTGGTCTGTATTAAAGCATTGTTTAATATCATCTCATTCTTACTGAAAGAGTCTACTGCCAAACAGAATTCAATGGGTTCTTGTGTGCACTGTATGGAAGTTTCCACTGTGTGATTATAAAAGACGATAGTTCGGTACAACACATCACCGTGTTATTATCATCATAAAAAAATAAAAACTGTATGCCACGGAATTGTGTTTTATTTTGCACCATTATGCAAAGTCTTTGCCAAGCGTGCACTTTTTACAAAAGTCGATTTCTTGGGTACCTCTGTCTCATTCGTGTTTCTACCGTGAAGCAGCTGTGTTTGCATGGCTGTGTTTCGGTTTGAAGGATGGAATATGGCGTGAATTTACTGGGTACAGAGGAATAACACCTGAGTTCTCAGGAATGGCAACGTATGGGGGGTATCATGGGCGAAACAGTATACTCTGTTATGTCCATGGTACTGCTCATGTCTATAGGCGACGGTTACCACGTTTCATCAGTTGGGCTGTCAGCTTGTTTGCCATTCTAAGTTGTATAAAAAAAACCATTATGATGATGCGTTTTTCTAGTGAAAGTCTTTAGGTACTTTGTCACGATTGAAGCCTGAATTTCGCGACAAAATTCTTTAAAAGATATATTCATATATACTATCGCTTCTACTTGATATATTATTACAAACAGGCTTTTAGCGTACATTCTAATTAACATAATTATCTGACATAATTAGGAAGTAAAGAAACAAACGATTCAATATAAATTTTAATTTAATTGAAATATGTCTATAGCTATAACTAATAACGTACATAACACTTAATAATAAATAGGATTCCTTAAAAACGAGTAATTTCATTCTCCTTCGTTTTAGTGTCCGACGGTGGAGGCGGCGAACTGTTGTTAGATTGTATATGAAGTAATCTGTAACAAAAAATATAAATACCGTTACATTTATATAAGATAAATAATAAACTTACCGACAGACTATCGTTTAGTTGGTCTTCGAAATAACTTTATTTAATAATAATTTATTTAATAAATTAACTTTATTGTGATTTAGAAGAAGAATGGTAGAGAAAAACGTATTACGTCGATCCCAAATAATAAGCTGGATAAGGGCATGACAATACATGGAAAGGGTATGATGTTAATTATTATTTAAAGAAGATATTTTAATAAAAATTAAGGTATTAGAGTCTACTAATAGGATTGTCTTTACTTGGGTCTTTAACACATATCATTCTTGTATGAATGCAATTTCGATCCTCACATAATTCAAATGTTTGTAGTCATGAGTGTAATTATATATTTCTATTGGACTATATCAATTTTAAGTTTAATAACTTTACCAATGCCGTCTAAATGTAAGGCTAAATTGAACGGGCATGCTTATCATTTCGACCCTGTATTATGTTTATGATAAACTTTGTTTACTGAAGAAAATACATTGTAGTGCTATTCTAGACATGACAGTTAAAGCCTGGGTCATTTTCAGGTCAGAAATTATATAAATTATTATTTGATACAAAGTAAAAAGGTTATCTCACGATAAATGTTATGTAACCTCTTATTCCTATTGGCTATCATTTATATTGCAAACTGCATTACGTACGGTCAGTATAAAACGTCAACTTATTAAAATTTTAAAACCTGTACTCCATAGCATAACAATTTACCTATCCTTAACATACAAAAATGTTATTTCACAATTTTTGTTCACGCTAATCTCCGAAAAGGTTTACCCGATTTTAATGAAACTTTGTAAACGTATTGTGTATTCTAATATATTGTGTATTGTTCATTCTAACTTGAGAGATAGAATAGTTTTAATCCCAAAAAGAAATAGCGAATCCGGTAGATGGCGGTAGTGAGAAATATTACCTAATCAGCTAGTCCCATTGTAAATAATAATAACTAATTTTGGCCCCCTACCTTACAAGTGTTTATTCAATCTTGGTGTATTTAAATTCTTTTTAAACTACTCGTATAACGCAACGGTGGTTCACTGGTTTCAAAAATGTTAGGGACTCATCAATTTTTGATACTGACTGTACGTATATAAGTATATATGTGGAGTGTTAGATGTAATTATTTTCTTAACTATCTATTTATGCACAGAAGTTCATTTTGATCGATAATAATTTATTGTTACTATTACTATTTTATAAATATCTTTCTAAAAAAATAAATTAATGAATTAATGTATTTTGTTAATGAAATAAATATGATTCAAATTTTTTCTTTAAGTATTTAAAACTAAATAAACGTTTTATTTGTTAACGTATTATATATATAACTCAGCAGTCAACCTCGTTGAGTTTACAATAACAAAATAATAATAAATTAATTATTGGGTACTTTGTGTATTTATACATATCAATATTTACCTTTGTGTGTCTACATAAAAATAATTGTATCCTTTCTTATTAAGTCTCTAATAGATGTCATAAATAAATATACAATGGAATAAACTTCTTAGAATTCATTGCGGTTGAAATGATATATATAATTGCTAACTCGTATATGGTCAAATGGAATAAATAATTTATCCTACTGTAATATATAAAGCTATTTGAGTTAATATCTACATACTTTTACAATGTTTAGTATGACTCAACACAAATAAAGATAGTCACAAGTGAAACTATGAAGTAAAGATTCCATCTAGATAGGTACTTTGTTACGTTATATCCTCGTTGGATAAAGTAACCATTTGGATATGTAAAAAAACTGGAATTTATAACAAATTCCTGTAATAGAATGAAAGCCACATAAAGACAAATTCTGAGAAATTATGCCTATTTTTTTGATAACTCATTGATAGCAATCCAAAAGCAAAGATTTTATTTTATTGTAAGCCAAATGAATAGGAAGAAAGATGGTCCTTGTATCCAAAAGATCGAGGTGTGGCGACCATTCCTCAATTTGGCGACAAAAACTTGGATCACTGCAAATATGCTGAGTCAATGACTTTGCCAAAATATTAGGATAGACTAAGATGTGCGTGGTTAAAGATCGGATCTTATGAAAGGGTCCATAAAAAGATTTTACCCTATAACGGTTGATCTAAGACTAAAGATCCTACATGTGCCGAAGTATACAGTATAAAATTGTGGAAACCACAAAATTGCTGCACTGCTATTTCAAGGCTTTTTCTTTTTCGGCGATATTGATTTTGAAATATCATTTGTAAGAGCATTAGAGTGCATTGTGAAAGAGTCTAAACCTATTTGTGGTATAAATTATTCTTTTTCTCTTGTATTGTCTAGTTTGTATCAAATCGAACCAGTTAAGAGATAGTAACGAACCCATAAGTTTCAAGGCCCAATGTGTACTAATAGAAATCAGATACCTACATACAAAAAACCTTTATTGCCATAACAATTCCATCAAAGGGCAAAATTAGGCCAAAGGTATATATATATATAAAAATAGAAAATAACAGTTCAAGGCTCCACCTGCTATTAGAAATCGATTATCGATCTAAACAAAATTACAGTAAGGGCGAGCTCTCGACTTGACCGCAAGGTCTCTTTTTTGTTGTAATGTCGAAATAGTCAATACAGTGGCTTAGGCAACGTGGAAAAATGCACTAGTCGCTTGTTCGGTTGAAGTAAAGAGAAGGCTGATGTCTTCGAAAACTACAGATTATGTTGAATACTTTAAATTGTATTAGTACTTAATTGATCTTTATTTTCTGTACCTCAATTTTACCAACGTATACTTCTATTATTATTTTAGTCTTTGGTAATTACTAGATCTGATAGTAAAATAAATAACAATAGTATGTATATATATGAGCCAATATATACATATATCAGCCTTTAATTGTACACTGCTGAAACCAAGCCTCTACCTTGGGGAGTATTGCCAGTAGTTGCTACGCTTGGCAGGCGGAATGGCAACCGCAGTTAGGCTTTGAAGACGTTTTAAGAGGGATACTACTGCCCATCCTTCGCCCTTCGTTAGTCGCTTCTTATTATACCTACGGGAAAGGAAGGGGTGGTTTATACCATGCCGGAATTATACGGCAATATAATTATATATATTTACAAAAATATAGATTTGTATATACGTTGTAGATTACATTAAATCCATTCTTTGTAACTATATTGCTATTAGCATCTCTTGCTAAACAGTTAAAGCTAAAACTGATTGTAATAAATATTTCCGTTAAATCCTCAATGATAATGTAAAATAAACTTTTTTTAGATCCATGGATAAAAATAATTTAGATTTCTTAGAATCTATTTAAATTAATGAATACCTCGCATTTATATGGTGACAATATTTTAGATGAGAAAACGTAATCGAGTGTACAAAGGTCATTGACATTTTACTTGTTACTAACTCTCATCAAAGCGGACTATACGTATCGCGGAAAGAAGTAATAATGGAGTCAGGGACCTGGGGGATAATGTGGAGCGAATTTACCACTTGTATAACATTCATAATTTACGATAAGTAATTAATAATATTATTATTAATAATAATATTTTTTTATTCACAAATATATGGGCTCATATTATACAGGACCAAATCGAAACATCCTATTAAAGGATGTTCTACCAGAAAAAGTGATTTTTTTTCCTAAAAACATCAAATGTCAAAAAACGACAAAAATTTGAATTTCCCACACTGACTTTACACATGATGTGCCTTATATACCATACTGTAATCAATAATATCATATAATCATAATAATAATAGGTATATATTGTTATATTAGGTAAGGCGTACTAACTGACTAAGCAATACTAAAATTGCTGGGTTTTGAATCAAGAAATTTTGTGTAAACGCGCATTACGTTGCAAAAGAACGAAAAAGTATATAAGGTAAATAAATATTTTTATGCGAGCGAAGCAAATATTTGAAAATTGAAATATAATTAGTTATTCTCGATGTGTGATAAATTACTTACATTAAAATAACTATGGCAGGAACAGCTAAGGCGCCACTTATAAGATAGAAAGCGCCCGCAAATGTAGATAGAGTACTCAGGTACACTTTGCTGTAGACTGGGGAGTAGATCACAGGCACCAACGCTTCTGATATGCTTATAAGAGAGCTTGTTTTACCTGTAACAATAGAAAAAACATGATCAATTAATATTTACATTTTTTTATAGTTTGTATGTATCTTTATTTATTAATAGTCAAGTTTTGTACGATGTCTCTTAATATGTATATACAAAAGTCTCACTTATGTCCGCCGCAGTGTTGCCATATTCAATTGTAAGTTTGTATAGGCATAGATAAAATTATATATCTATTTCCGCGTGATTTGTTTATAAAGTGGGTTATGGTACGTACTAAAATTATTTTAAATTTCAATATGATTCCTACCTACGACATTGAAACAAAACTGATGGTAAATCCGCAGTTATAAGCCAAATTGACAGGATTACAATTTAAATTTTAAAATCAAAATTTGTTCAATAAGGCTCTTACAAAGCACTTAAGTGACTTAGTATATTAATAAGATTCGACAACATTAGGAAACGATAAGAAAACTCATTTAAAATTCAAAAGTCTTGTTCTTTGGAAAAGCATTGAATAAATTTAACCATTAATATTTTATTGATTAAGTTAAGATAGAAATTATTATGACAGCATGAAAATATTTATTGGGTAATTGAAAGAATTTTGAATAAATTTCGAAGCCTCGCGGCTTGAACTTGTATCTTCTACAACCATGATAAGTGCGGCGCTCATACTAATTGAGCTACATACATATGTAAAGATATCCTCAATCGACCTCTGTTCACTGGAGTTAAAATGCTATGATATGTAAGTTTTGATCGAACTTTTGATAGTTATTAAGTTACGTAGTTCATATTAAAATAATTTATAATACCTATTTATTTATAGAGCATAATCCCATTTTAGTATATTGAACCTTTTATTATACAAGTAGGAAATACATAAATGATACCATACCCTCATTCAGCTTCTGGTCACTGGTGTCAAGACTTTACGACATCTCGTGAGATACCAATATGCAAGTGCCATGATAACATTTCGCGAGTTCGCACCCGTTATGAGTGGACCTCGAATTAGGTCATTGTATAATTGTTTTATAGGGTTGATACAAATTAATTTTTAATATTCTTTATTATATTATTTAGTAATTTGAATGCGTTAAACTAAAAGAAACGTTATACTAATATCTACCTACGCTAAAATTCTTTTGTTCATTTCATTATGCTCAATTTTCTTTCCTGTTGAGAATCCAGCTAATATAAACATATTAATATTTCATTTTCATCATTTTCAGTTTCTCAGATTTATTAATTTCTCAAATGTATATAAATTATCATAACTGTCATAAAATGTCATAACTTTGCACTACAACAAGACCACTCTTCATTCATTTCCATCGGCGCAATCGCACCGGTGATGCTTGCTTCTTTCTACTTTGCTGGCTTTAAACTGTGACTATCGATATTTTCCGACTATACTTTTTGTGTGTATCCTCCTATTTCAGTTTTATGGTATTTATTTATAATTTATGACTGATGTAGTTTTTTTATAACCTCAATATTTTAATTCTTACTAATATTATAAACGTGAAAGGTATGTCGTTTATTACCTTTTAACACCTTAATAACTTAAACAATCCCTATGAAATTTAGTATGTTCGTGCTATATAGGATGGAGAAGGATATAGAGTATTTTTTATCCTAGTCAATGAATATACCTCAGTCAAGCAGACGAAGTCGCGGGTAAAAGCTAGTAAATCTATAACCCTAAAATATACGTATTAAGAACAGGAAGACAGGAAGAGACATTCATAATTAATATTGGAAAATTCTATATGACATAAATATGATAAAATTATTCTTGATTACAAATTATAAAGCCATGTACATAATTATATGGCGGTTGTTGTGAGATAATGACATTAGCAAACACGTTTATCAAGAATGTATCAAACAAAACGGAACTACGGAATTACCTTAGTGTTGACAATGTTTTGGTAAACCTAATACAATTACCGTACGTGATACGAAAAATATGACGCCAAATGACGATGATATCGTCATGAAAATAAACTGAAGGTATTTTATAAGGTACAGTAGTAGATTCCAATATTTGATTCCATAAAAAAGTTTAGTTCAATTAAATAAAAAATCATTAAAATCGGGTCAGATTTGTCGAAAATAACGCGTAATAAATATAAAAAAATCATATAAAAATATCATCACCATCACCATCACCATCATATCAGTCATTATCTATTTACCATTAAACATAGGCCTCGGCCTTATGAAAATACCGTTCTTTATGAATTTAGATAGTTAAAATTGCAATGTTATATATAATTAGGGGTAACCCATTCTATGCCGTGTGGTCCCGGTATAGATTGGGTTACCACTTCATTTTCCGTATATGTCGTAAAAAGCGAATAAGGACACTTAATGGTCGAGGGATGGACAGCAACATCCTTCTTAAAACATTAGATACCAGTCTAATTGCGGTTGCCAACCCGCCTGCAAAGCGTGGCAGTTACTGGCAAAACTCCCTTTATGGGGGAAAGCCTAATGTTCAATAGTGGAAAGTTAACTGCTGGTATGATGATAATGACATTATTAGATATATGTAACTAATTGAAGACAACGGGGTGACGAAGAGATTATTAGAAATGGGGATTAGTAGCCCCATTGCTAGCAATGTACTCTGTCAGGTGGATCTCCTCGTAGTTCCCTCTGGAATCCATCGTGATTGATTTATTGTTAGATTCGTAACGGTGAGTTAACTGACCTGCTTCATTCTCACCTATCATTCCTCACTGGTGCCCCGCCAGTGTATACCGATAGTGCAGGCGGGGTTACTATTCCATTATCATCCATTAAAAAAAAACTGAAGACAACGGACTTAACGCGTTTCTATTTCTTATCATCACTGTGATATCAGACGAGTTGTCCAAAAAAATAAAGTACAATTCAACAAACTAAGCGAAGAGAAACTTAAAATGTACACAAAAACTCCCTGACCAGCATGGTAACAGAAAACTGGAATTATATCTCATCTTCATCTCATGCTAGTTTCTACAGATTTACTCAGATTTCAAACTAAAATAGTGTCTACTAGCTGTATACTGCGACTTTGTCCACATCAGAATCAGTACATGAGGTATCCTGTGCTAAGTTACGATATAACCTACCTGTGTTCCAAATTTCATACAAATCCGTTTAGTAGTTTTAGCAAGAAAGAGTAACATCCATCCACCCATTCATCTATCGTTACAAACTTTCGCATTTATAATATTAATGGAATGTGCCTAAAGTAGATATAAAATTAATAACTCAGGAATTAAAACGATTCAGTTTTTTTTAATTATCTTCAACGACAACTCAGAGAAAAATATAAAATCCAGGGTATGTATAAGTATATAATAGAGAACTTTAGTACGAATTCAATATGGAATATAAAGAAGAGAATTAAATATGGATCAAATTATTCAGTTTTGTTTAAATAATGTAAATTTTTACTTAAATAATAACATAATGTACAAAGCATATAAATAATATCGCAGTGTATTTAAATAATAAATATGAATGGAATATAAAAAAGAGAATGGAATATGAATCATTCGGAATTTTACGCAAGCGGTTCGTAAAATTGAAACTGGGGTATTAAGTCATTATAAAATTTATCTTTACAGTAATGATTTTACAAACATTTGTTTCTATGGTTTTATTTTTAGTGACTAGTAATATATTTACATATTCAGACAGATAACAGAATACCTACTAACTACTACCAAACAAACAAACAGTAGTTAATCTCACAGTAACAGTTGTTATCAGAGAGCAAAATTTCAAGATGCGGCTTTACGGTAATCGAGTGTTCAAGGAAATATTTCATAAATAGTTAGAATTAAATATAAAATAAACAATTATGTAATAAAATTTACCTACAATATCTCGTATGATGTAAGACATCGTAATTAGTTTTAAGTCTCTCGTAGAATACACTATCAAAAATATCATAGGATTCCAAATATATAAGAATACCAGAGGGAGACTTTGTACAAAAGTCGTCTGCTTGGGAACCTCTGTCTCATTTCTGTTTCTATTGTGAAGCAGTGGTGTTTGCATGATTGTACTTCGGTTTGAAGGGTGGGATATGGCAGTGAATTTACAGGGTACAGAGGAATAACACCTGAGTCCTCAAGAATAGCAATGTATGGGAGTATCATGGGCGAAACAGTATACTCTGTTATATCCTTGGTACTCATGTTTATAGGGGACGGTTATCACTTTCCATCAGGTGGGCCATCAGCTTTTATATATATACGGATTTGAAAGAGATTGGGTACAATTGGGGAGGTTTTGTAAACCTACTCTTTGTAATTATAAAATATAGTATATATCAAATGTATTAACAATTACTCACCAATTTCATCAGCATCCACTAGTTTCGTTGCTATCGATCTTAGAGAGGTGGATCCAGCTGAGCTGAACATGTCAAATACTGGTCCGAGGAAGTAAATGGTGCGGTTCGGTGCCAACGCGTAAACAACACTTGCAGCAATCCTGCTCAAGCACGCTATCACGCCGACCACGCTGTCGTCTATCGCCCATCTCTTCACGAAGAGGTATATGGTTACAAAAGAACCTAAAGACAATATAAATATATAAGTAAACATATTATTTACAAAAAATAACATAAAATATAAGTAGCAAATATTGATCATTATTACAATTCTTAGAATTATTCAGAAAAACTGCAACTGTTAAATGTTTATGGGGTTTCCGTACATTAACGACGAAATTATTTTATCGAAATAGAAACTACATATTTCAACTTTAATATGAAGTAATACGTCAGTATTACTTCATATTGAAGCAGTCATGCTTCTCTGTTATTTGCCACTATTTGTATATTAAAATAATAGATTAATATGTTGTCCTTGATCTCAGTTGATTACTATTTTTACAACCCTATTATCGTGCCAATGGGTATCTCTCATGTAAGGTCCTCTTCCATTAAGGATATTAGCCTGTTATAACTATGCTGTCCAGATGGCTTTGCATACGATTTTATTACATGCTTACTTCTCTTAAGCTCTTTGTTGAATACGTAGTTATTACATGAACTAATAAAATATTTACATTAAGCAAATATTAACAAACTAATGCTATTATAATGCTACTATTATCGTTAAATATTATGTATAAGACAGGATAGAGAAACATATCAATTTGTAAATGTGTTTATTTGCATTTGTCATTAGGGTTGTGTTCTCAGAACCAAACCATTCAAACCATATTTAGTGTAAAACCGTTTCTGACATATCCGCTAATAGTACGATGACGTTAAATAAATAGACATAGTAACGATCCTCAAAATTTACTTCCTACAATGTACTTGATAAAAGTGCTCGCAACTATGTCTTCTGGAATGGCTGGATATCTATTGAAAATTATATCCCACGAGATGTCTCGATTCTATTACTAAAATATTAAAAAAAAAATTGAAAGAATAGAGGATTTAACAAAATGAAATGTTTGTGAAATGACAGAACCAAAATATTAGTAATGAAGAAAACATGCTATGCAAACTCTAAAAAGACAAAGAAAGGTTCGAACAAATCAGATGTTGATAATCTCTCTATGCTAAGATTCTTTTGTTTGCAAAGATGAAAGAAATTGTTATTTATAATATTAGCAGCATAATTGCTAGCAATATATTTCTTATCAGTTTAAACTCCACGTGGTCTTCCTTAGAAACCAATGCGGTTAATTCCTGGTAAATTCGTCATGATGGGTTAACCGACTTGATTTCGTCTTCACCTAAGGTACCCCATCAGCACAAACAAATAGCGCATGCTGAGTTACCATTACATTTTGCTTCATTAAAATAACCGTTTGTAAATGAATGAATATTAAACAAAGCAAACAAAGGTATTTATACTAAAGTTTCAAATGCTATTAGGATTATAACAATGTGCTTAGAATTCGGGGTATAGTTTTGTGTGACTCACCTCATGATATGTACCTATCGTCGTTTATTCTATTGTTAACCAATGGGTTCTTATTTGAATGTATTTATAAATATTTACCCTATTAATGCATTGAAAATCTTAAAATATATTATCCGTGAATGACGTCATTAAGCCTGATTTATAGGTCATCTAGCGTGTTATAAATTTAACTACGGACTTTTGATTCTGCATAACAGCACATCAGGATAAAGATTGAAATTCAAAGATTCGAGTCATTTAGGTCGACCTGTGAAAGGTTATACTATTTAACCTAATATAGTTTCAGAATTAGGTATCTAAATTGGTGCAATTCGATATGAAAATAAGGTTGTTAGGGCAATATGAGACATAACACCATTTATCACTGCTTTTCCATCATTATGTCATTAGTATATTTCTTTTCTTGACATATTATACTATTAAAAACATAATATTTTTATACAACTTAAAGTAGCAAATAATCTGACGAAAGATGTAGATACCTATCTATTGCCTATAACTGTAAACATCACACGCCCGTGCTGGACACATGCCTTGTCAGTCCTTTGCAATTTAGAATTAAAACCATTTTTTTATTCGACGGTTGTAAAAAAGAGGGTATTTTATATTTTTCGGATGTGTGATTATATATCTGGATCTTTTGCAAAAGATGTCACCTATACTAAATTTGTAGAAATATTAAGGATCGATAACGAAACTATAGAATAAAAATGCGATCATAATCTTTCAAAATTGATTTAACAACTGCATCCACCTGACAATATTGATAAAAGTTCTAATTATCTTTTAATTCTAATATTTTTAGTATACCTAGCTTAATTTTATTATTTATTTGTTTCTTTAAATAATTTTGTACATTCACTTTTAACTTTATTTAATTATCAGATTATACATTATATATATTTACGAAAATGTAAATCTGTAATATTGTGATGTTCCTCTTGTTCTGTTACTCATATTAGCTTTTTAAAATTTATTTTGTAAATAAATAATTGCTACTAGGTGCCAAATTTAAAATTTTTAAGAAAACTTCGTAATAATTACAGATGTTATCTAAATTGAATAATTATAGTGTAACTAATTAACTTCTGTAATTAACTTGGCACGTTGACTTGCATAGACACTGTAAAAAGAAAACTAATGCTTCATTATAATTAGAATTATATTTAATTGGACATAAATGTCACCCAGCACAGATTTTTCTATATTTTTTACCTATTCATATATACTAAAGCAATGTAAATGAAACCTGCTTTAAATGTTTCCGTAATGTACTCGTAAAATAACTATTATGTTTTGTTGTGCTAGAATTGTATATTTACAACTGAAATCTTTTCATGTACGTAAATAGTTATTTTGCCTTAATACACACGCTGCCGTTTTATTATTTAATAACATAAGTGATAAGTATATTCTTTATTTATTATATCATTCGCGTTGCTTCTAAAAATATAATAGTAGGTAATCGCTATGGGAAAATTTACTGAGCGAACGTTTGTTTTAGAAATACCTTAGTAGGACTATTACTACATAAACTAAATAAAATCTAAAACTCCTATATATATTGATTAAGTACGTTCAAGCATTCCTAGTAGTTTAAATAAATAATAACTAAATTATAGTATGTATTTTAAGATAAAATTATCACGAATTATTAATTAACTAATACGTACAATCATCTCATTGGTGGACACTCAACACAGGTTACTAGCGCACAAGTACCTACTGTTAAATAATATTAACAGATAAACTGTGCTAATTATACTTTATATATATTTTCTATTCTATTTTGAGAAATATTTCTTTTTCAGTGGCTTACTGCGTAATCAAATTTGATTCAAAGAAATCTAAGGAAAGTTACCTATTATGTGTTGTTTTGATGGCAGGTTTTATTAATATTGTGTTTAAATGTAGTCACGGTATTTAATCATTGTAAAACTTGGTATACATGTGATATTCGAGATGGAAAAAGTCATACGCTACCCTAATCCTAATACTAAATTTTAATACCCTAACCTTAGGGTTTAGATGGTCTTGAACCTGGCTCATACCTATCTAAAATAGGGCATTTTTGAGTTCTGACACGAACGTGTCTTCGATCGAATGAGACATCAGGTCAAGAAAATAAATTATTCCTAACTCAGAGGAAAGATGCCTTTAAATATTAATGTAACGGGGACTTCTGTCCTTATTACTAAATAAAGCCTCACAGACCAAAATAGCATCACAATACAGCCATAGTCTGTCTGCAATATCGAAAAATGAATAAAAACTTAAATAATTTTGATGTAAGTTAAACCTTAATTACAAATGATAAAGCGCAGTTTTGTTTGTAACACAGGTAGCTTAGAAAGAATATTGTGTATAATACAACATTAGGTATATTCTGTCATGCCCATGAATGTCCATGGTTTATGATATCTATAGGCCGCAGTTACCAATTTCAATGACTGGCTTGTCAGCTCGTCTTCCGCTTTTTGCCTTGATTATTCAAATTATTGCCACGAGATATTAAAAAATCATATCTAAAAATGCGTCAATCAAATCCATGCAAACAAATGCAGACAATTGTAAAAAATATTCTATATAACTCATTTTTTGTTCCATCATATTAAATATAAGTACTTAGTATATTTGTTCACTTGTACACCAGATATGTGACTTTGTCAATGATATCGACTTAATACAATTATTAATGCTACTTAAAGGATATTAAGACAAGATTTGATTTTATTTAATAAATAGTTAAATGATTTTATGCACCATGTTTGTTAGATAGTGCTAAGCAGAGAGTAACAAATGAAAAAGATTTATCTTTTTAAACAATATTTATACACATTTCTTATTCAATCTACTTGTACAAAAAAAAATTAAACCATTTAAATACATTCTAAATTTAAATTCTTTTTTTCTTTAAAATTCATGGAGAATAGGAATAATGAAGACTTTTCACGCTTGGTCTAACTCTACCTTAATACCAACAACGCATTTCATATAATATTTTATAAATATTCCACTTACAATCAGGTGCATATAATTATTGACTATTTAATTAATAGATACTTTATTAATATTGTACTTGTATACTTAGTATTTATACTATGTAAAAATCTTGTTGTGAAGGAACAGGTTAAACTGCAAAACTCATCGATCGATCTTGTGTGATTCAATAAAGATACATCAAGGATATAGGTACACCGAGCTCATTGACTTTTAAGCTACCAGGTACAAAATCTAAAATATTTTTTACAGATGTAATTTATAAGTACTTTTGAATGCTCATTTTTTGTTTCTTGTCGTGCTTCCAGACAGACTCGGAAGGTTGTTATCATTGTTTACATACCTACAGATAAAGATGACAGACTCGTGGACAGGCAAATATACTTGTATTATATTTATATACTATTAGTAAAAATAGTAAACAATCTGACGTCATTTAATAGAATAACTGTCGTTTTAGACTATTTAAAACAACGATATCAGACAAACAGGCTTGTACCTGCATGTCATAATAACAAAAGCCTACTTATACTCCAGACATACTTGAACACAGAATTCCTGACTATATGAAATTTAAACGCAAAAGATGTTTGAGGATCGAATGACAATACTGATGGTATTTTTAAAAGGATTTGATATCAATCGATATTTATTAACAACCATAAAGAGCCATTTCACTATGCATTAATTACTTTTCATTACACGAGGATATTACCTACTACGAGCTATTCATAACCTATGATAATCGCACTAGATAATTGTTCGATTTCTTGTAGCTTCTTTCGACTGTTTTCGATTTTTTTTCTCATACATTATCGTATAGTTTTGTTAACTATCGCTTCTTTCGACGTACTAAGGATGGTTCTGTAAATGCTGTCTAGGTTCTAAGTTGACAAATTATGAATAATCGGAGTATGATTTGGTCTCAATAAGTGGCCTTACTATCATCACTGCAAATAGTCTACTATTAATACGCCTATGTAGTAAAATATAGTCTTAAAATGTTGGCCGTATGATGAAGCTGAGTATCCAAGATACGTTATGAACTGTTGAAAGGTTTGAGCTTGAGCTTTGGGCGAGATAAAATCCGAAATGAGAATACCTGCAGAATATCCTATGTGATGTATATAGGCCGACGGATTTAGGTTTGTAAGGTAAATACAGCATAGTAACTAGAAGAATCGATAACTGTTGAAAAAGAAAACTTCTCGAATATCGACACCATAGTAGCATTTGGACATGGCGATGTTTCGCTAGAAGACGGAGTGTATGCATGTAAGCTACTCAAGCACAAATTAGGTAATGAGGTAAAATAATAGTTGGTATGATTAGGAATCCATGGCTGAAATGATGATTATGTACATAATTTCAGTGCTTGTGTGTTAACGGGTTATGCATAACGTTATTTATTATGTATATCAATACATAGTGTCTATACTTAAAGTTCTTGTAATTGTTAGTTATTTGTACTAACGTACTATAGTCTTATTTATACTGTGATAAATATGTTAATAGAAACGCAAGGAAAATTTCTGTATATTGTATAATTGTGCGTTTAACTTGGTATAGTAAGGAAGAAATCCAATGTGGCTCTTGAATGAAAATATTCTAGGAATTTGCAAAATATAAGTATTATTCTATCGATTTGGATACAAATTTTTCCTAAATTGCAATAAAAACTGCCGATAAATATAAATTATTTTGTATTAAACACAGTAGAAATACAAATATTGATTTCATGGTTTTAAGGCCCTTTAAATTTAAAAGCAGAATGTTGGACAATAGCTCTAATAGGAACGAGTAACATAATAATTTGTGTCTAGGTAATTATACCTTACGTTACCTAACTTTATAAAAATTTTATTTGGATAAGAATATAGTGTGAACGACCTAGAGGACATGCTTTTATAATATGACCTGACGCTATTAGAACGGCAACTGGTGGTGATATCCACGAGGTTGTGTATGCTGCTTAAAATCATGCTATTGAACAGGAATTGTTCGTGGTTGCAACACTCAGACTTAAAGGATCGGGAAAAAAAGAAAATTACATTTAATGATATACGAGTAGGTATTTAAAATACAAATTTAGAAAGTAGACATATCAAGTACCATAAAGTGGTAAAACAAAATTTCCACCGCATTGATGAAAAAGCAATGTTACCAGTTAAATTAGTAATTAAATTCATCTCAAAATAGTAGGTAGGTCCTCAGTAATTTGAAGCTTCCGCATATCAAATATGATGTACAGTGGCAGTGAGACTGCATGGTGGTTATGTTTTTTGTAAACATTTTTTTATTTATTACGGGTTTTATAGAAATATAGAAAACAAAACCATCAATAGATACGTTTTCGTTATCACAAGCATACAGAACAATTTGTAGCAATATGTTTCTGTCTCGTTCTATCTCGTGGATGCGATAAAGGAAACAAATATATTAAGATTCATTTGTCACTTGTGTAGAGAAGCTGATTTTCTTATCGTTATTGATGGAGCACAATAAATTACATTAATTAATATTTATGCTTAAATATGTATTAAAGTTAAAATAAATGACGGCGATAGGTACACTTATCAGGTCAGTCACTTAAAATTAAAACTAAACATTCTATTGCGATGTTCTTTTTTATGGATATATTACCTTTAACGAACAATGCCCAACAACGGCTCCAAGATCTTTCATATTTCTCTGCACAGGATTGGTATTAATCAAACTTCCTATACTTTACATGTGTATAATAAAAAATGAAAAGGTATGACTTACCAACACTTCCGACAAGAACGGAGTATGTGAGGAATAAACTGTAGTCCACTTCGGTGAATTTGAACTTGTAGCGTGTGAACCAGTATGTCATCTGCGCCTCACCTTTATTCCAAATGAAACAGGTATTAGTGAATCAGCCACCGAGCGTAGGTGATCTGCAAACATTGTTTGTAAAAGCCTCCACGTTTGCGATTGGGCTTCGCTTTTTCTTATGTTTGCGGAAATATACAAATAGTAAAATTAAATTGTTTGGTTAAAAAAACCGACTCCAAGCGTGGTATAATTAATATGAAATAAATAACCTCTATGGGCTACAAATAAAATTATTAGCAAAAATCGGTTCAGAATTGGCATAAATATTGCCCTAAACATATAACGCACACGCACAATAATACACATATCTTTAATCGACATAAAGTCGGTTGGAAATCAGATATCATATGTACTTATTATTATATATACTGGATTATTATATAATTCCAAAATTATAGTAACCCTTTTACCATCCCCTGTAGTGCATGAGTCATCAGTCTACTATTACCAGGCTGACGGGCTATTACAATATCGTCTTTCATGCCAAAATTACTTTCCTTGCACTAGTGCTTTGTCCACTACTCAGTTTTTACGACATAATAGGAGATAAAATGAAGTAATTATACTCGACTATCTAATCTTTGTTGGGATAAGGGATTATTAGTAATAGGCTCTAATGGTCCGTATTGCTAGCAATATAAAGTGTATCAGGTCGACTTCTATATCTACCCAAAACATCGAGGAAAAACCATCATAATGAATTCCCAATGAATTCGTCGTGATAAGGCAACTGAATTGACTTCATCCGCACCGAATCGGTTACCATTCCATCTTTATCTAATAAATAAAACCTATTCATATTTCGTCACTAACTAAAAATATACATAGTTACATTTTTAAATAGACTGTACAAGTATAGCCTATTTATATATTACCAAATTTGAGAATAATACAAAATAACGGATGAAATCAAAGTCGTTATTCTTACGTGAAATTAAGAATATTCTCATGCGAAAGAATATTCAGGACATTATTTATTATAGGACAGAAATTTCATAAATCAAAAATAAAAAATGCGACCATAAATATTGAGTTTGCATTACTGACTTAACAGCTGGTCGACTGTGAGTCAACATTTTAAGCAGTTTATTGACCTTTGAATAAAATTTATTAGTTTATTGGTTGAACAATTCTTTAAAATAACGTTAACAACTTCAATTTACTGTATGTATTTATGTGTGCACAAATACTGGGAACAATACAGTGTTACTATTTCATCACCATTGGTTAAAAATTCCATAACTACACAAAAATTAATTTTTATCTTGACATTGGCAAGATCAATAGAACCATAAAAAAAATCTCGAGATGTTATTTATCTCGTGGAATATTGCTTAGTCATGGGATATGCGAGGATCTATGACTCAACAGTAAAAGTATGTAATTGATATAGATGGTAAAAGTCAAGATTAGAAGACTTGATGTATGCTAGTACCATAAAATATAACCAAACAACTAATGGGAAGTGGTAACCTTCGCCATAGACAATCGAGATTATACTATGACACTCATATCATTTCTTATCACAACCATATTATTCTAATAAATAAATATAACAACAATATGTCAGTCTTCACCAGATCAGACTTCGACTTAGGTAAACTGTTGGATCAAAATAAAATAATTTTAGAATTAAACTGATTATTAAAGTACCATATATATATATATATATATATATATATATATATATATATATATATATATATATATATATATCATATCATATCATATATAAAGATAGTGTCAAACAGGAGAAATCTATTTTAATTGTGACAAAACCAGTTATTTAAAATTAAACTATTGAATTGAGTTTGATAAAATTTCTATGGGACCAATTTGTAAGTACATCCTTTCAGATAAAAAAAAAGAATTTTCCAAATCGGTTCAGAATTGACGTAGTTATAAGGTACATATAAAAAAAATACAACTAACTTGAGAACCGCCTCCTTTTTAAAATCGATTAAAAAGTAATATAAATTGCATACATTCCACTCGTGTCATGTAAAGGTTAAATTTATAACTTTAATTTGATTAATGAGATGAATTAAATTAATGAGATTATGGTCCAAAAAGTAAAATTCTTATATAGAAATAAACATTTTATCTCGTAACAAATATAAATGCTCAGGATTTTAAGAATTGAGGCTTGTTGTACAGTATAGATGAAGTAATCGAGAATGAGTAATGGACATAATATCATGTTATTTTGTTTTTTTTTTTTTGTTATTCGATATAATTCCTTCCATTTATAAATAGAGGATTTAATTAACTGGAGTTTTAAACTGCCGAGTAATTGTGATTGAGACCTATATTTTTTTACAAATCAGTATAAATTAAAACATTAAAATATATAAAAGCACCAAATTTCTAAAATTAGGCTTCAAGCAATGTAAAATTTTTATGCATATAAGTATAAACATGCAGAATTAATTGACCCTGCAACATCTGTGTATTAGACACATGTTTGATATCAAAATCTGTTCTTTATAAACCCACGGTTAGTAAAACTAATGTACTTGCTGATTGAAATACCAAAACAAATTGTTATGACTTGTTTTCACCTGTAGTTAACGTTTACAGCTGTTGATTAAGATACTCGACTTCATTACTAAAGTAGGTATGCAATTATAACGTCTCATTCGGTATGGTTTATAAAGTTCATCCCCCTACAACGGTTAAAAAGACGACAGAAGTTACAAATAAGAAATCTCATTTATATTAGATTATTGTAATTACCAAATTTACATATTCATAATATAACTAGTGTTATATATTATATATAATTTAGGGACTTGCAAATTTTTTCGATATTTTTAATCAAACATACTTAAACGTCTAATTACAGTTAAAGAAAATTTCTAGACAAAGAACCACATTTTAAATTAGCATAATATCAGAATAGTTTTTGTCTTAAATCCTGCGACCAAAGTAGATACTTTACAAGTACTAACTAGTAATAATAACAAAAATACAAAGTTACAGAATACCTTGAATTTCACATAAAATAAAGGACTTTTCAATTTTGTCGTTTCAGGTATTAAATATTTGGAAATAATTTTCGGGTCATTCCAGTTTACAATATAGGTAAATAATAAATAAAATTTTAAAGATCTCTCAAGCTCTCAACGTTGTTACGAATACCTGCTTGATACTTTATGCGTTATGAACTGTAAACTCTCCCTCTAAAATATATTTAAACATGTATGATCCAGTCCCAAAAAAGAAAAAATCCACATTAATTTTAACAGCAAGATACCACTGCTATAAATTACAAGAACTGCCTACATCATTATTCATTATGTATAAAAAATAAAAAAAAATGTTTTAAAGCCGGCAGTTAATCAAATTTCTCGAGTGAATAATTGGAAAAGGCATGCTAATCCAGGTAACTGTCCATGTGAGTTCTTTGTATTCTAATTCTCGTTTATATTATTGTCTACTACTTTTTTTATACGAGGCTTGGATACTTACATTGTCGAGGAGTATCGAACCTCAACTAAAATAATCTAAATCATATAGATTAATAAATCATATGACAAATTTTGTTTTTATAAAAGAAAAATCAACTTCGTTAATAATAAAAAAAAAAATAATTGAAAAAAGGATGCGTTTATTTACTAGAATTTGGAAATTAAAAAGATAAGAGGTTCGGTTAATATTAATAAAGTATGTTTAAAACGTACTTTCTAGCAGTTGCGGTAAACACAATATTTACTGTTAATGAATTATCATGTGTATTCGAAATAAAAAAATGAAATCTATCAATGTATTTGTTGAATTTAACTTTTATCAACGTGCATATGTCTAAATAGTATAAAACAAAGTCACTGTTCGTGTATGTCTGCTTTTCCATTTATGTCTTCGAAACTATGCAACGGATTGCTATCATTTATATATGTATGTTAATTTATAAACTCATGATAATTGACTGAGTTAAGGAACATGTAGCAAACAAATAAACAAACTCATATGACTTCTGTAATATTAGTAAGGATATTTACACCAAAAACCTGCTTCTTTTTCGCTTAGGCTTTAATGTATACTCGTTGTTAGCTTTGTATATGAAATACACATTTTATTAAAACATATATACAAATAAAAAATAAATATAAAGAAACTTTTCACGTTAGTTACAAATACGTCTATTATGATGAATATAATAAATAAAAAAAATATAATTTAAATATTTAAATTTATTTAGATGTGACTACCTACTGAGTAATAAATTTGTTCTAAAAAAATATTTTTAATATATTTTAAAGTGCTCAATTCTAGCTACAGTTAAATAGTTAAATCGGTAAATTTATTCTCTTTAGTAACAATAAACATATATATATATATTTTATTTTACTTAATAAATTAAAAATAGAATTTAATCAAAATGTAAAAAAGACGAGTAATCGAACTTAATATAAGACAATTTGCTAATGCCCAATAGTAATAAATCAAAAATCGGATAATTGATTAAAAGTATTTCAATTTGTTAGGACCAATTTTATCTAGAAATTGATTCTGTAGTAATTTCACGAAAACTTGATTACCTTTTTATTATATTCTATCGAACTAAGCTTTTAGTAGCGACATTATCTGTGTGACCGGATGTGTTTATTGAACAGGATAAATTCTTCTCTATCCCGTATACGAATAATAAGTATATACCAAATTTTATACCAATTGGTTAATGTTAATGGTTAACCCATTAGGGTACTATATGGTAACAAATAAACTAACTCACTTTCACATTTATAATATTAGTAAGCATTATCCTCAAAATTGGCATGTTATAAATGATATACTCAGATTTCATGATTATTAAAATATTTTCTGTAAAAGCCCTAGTGCTGTTCATATCTAGAAGCGATTGTTACAACTTTTTAATGCAGTGAATTGTCAGCATCTATATCATTTACTGTTTTTTTAAACCTCTGAGGTGGCAAACAAGTATACAGCCCAGCTAATGGTAAGCGGTTACTGAAGGAACCTATTTACCCCTTTTTCGAAGAACCCCATGCTATAATCTCTTACAATAACGTCGACAGGGAGTTTATTTAATTTTCTTATATAGTTTTATAAAAAAAAAAACCATGTGCGCTATACCTTCGAGAATACATAACTGTACTATTGTAGTAATTTGCCCTTTATTCTACTACAAAGCCTCGAATTAGTCACTAGATATATTTCATTGCTGTTCACGAATTCAGCGAAACAATAGTTGTAGGCCTATTGCTTTAACAACAGCCAAAATCAACAGCATATGACATTGATTGTTAGCATGCCATTATAGAGCATGGAACATTTGTGAAATAACTAAGTTCACAATTGAAAGAATAAAAGGTTATGAAATTATCACTAAGAATCCCAGATTACAATTGTAACCCAGAGTAATCTAGTTAGAGATAGTTCATTTTGATTAAACTATTGTAACTATTAATATCATAATTTCAGCCGTTATTTGGCCACTGCTGAACATAGGGCTCCCCCCATAGACTGCTACAAGGAACAAAAGCGTTCCTTATGGCAGTTTCCCATTACGGGATATTGCCGGTAGTTGCCATTCTTAGCAGGCGGATTGGAAACTATAGTTTGGCTTTTGGTAGTGTTTTGATAGGAGCGCTGCTGCCCATCCCTAGACCATTAAGTTTCCTTAGTCACCTCTTACGACATCTACAGGAACGAAAGGGGCAGTGATTATTATACTTAGGTTATTATAAATGTGAAAGTGGTTTAATTCGATTATTAAATCTTAGCGTTTTAGAGAACCAACTAATCGTCATTGACTTAATATTCACGATGGAGAAGGATATAAGTACGTTTTTCTGGACATATCCCACTAATATGGATAAAAGCTAGTAAGAACATAGATTAAAAATAATTAAAGGACTTCTTAAAAAAAATTACGTCAATGATAAATTAAATTCTATTGATTGCAAAAAGAATAATGAATATCGGCGCTGAATTGATTGCGAAGATTTCTTAATAATCTACAGACAAAAAAAGCAATCAATTCTGGAGTCTTCTTGATGAAATCGGTTGAAAAATCTTTATTGATATATTTTTGTTTACTGAGATTAGCTTGACTTCATACCTCTTTTTTTTTATTTTTGACGATTTGTTTATTTTGTAAACAAATAAGTTACTATCAGGATAAATCATATTTATGTAGTTGATAACAGATAAATAAAACATTGACTAGAGTGTAGTAATTTTTAGTCCTCACTATACTGCTTAAGTATATTGCGTTTTAAATTTTCGATAGATGTCTACCTCAAGTAATACAAGCAACAAATTAATTTAGCTCCCGCCAAGTTACCACGTTGAACTACAATTGCTCAACGAAATGTAAGCAAGTAGATAATTTTAAGAATTATTTAATTTTAATAAATTGAAAAATTATATATTTATGTTGACGATTCTTCTTTAATCGAAGGATATATTTAGAATTTTATGAATTTTATTTTTTTGTTATTATTATATCGGCCGTTAACAGTCCACTGCTAAACATATGCCTCTCTAATTACGAGGGTTTTGCCAGTAGTTGCCACGCTTGGCAGCCGAGTTGGCAACTGCAGTTAGGCTTTAATGATGTTTTAAAGGGACGTTACTACCCATCTCTCGGCCATTAAGTTCCCGTAGTCACCTCTACGACATCCACGGAAAAGGAAGGGGTGGTCAATTCTATGCCGGGATCACAAGGCAAATTTCATGAAATATGTAGTTGATAAATATCAAGTATATTACTTTATAGATGTAACGAAGAAACAATATAAAGGTGATTTTTAATGAATCTTACCACATGTTTAGGTATGTTTATAAAAAAATACGAGACATTTAGTAAACTTGAACACATTTTAATATATTAATATATTTACTTTCCACATCTACTTTTTATTGATCTTTTTAAAATATCATATAAGAAATTTCTAATTATCACGTTTCCGTACGTGATTTTTAGTCTATTAAACTTATAAAATGTCCGCGTAAGATAAAACACGTCACTTTCTTACATCAATTAATTTAACGGTTTCTTTAAATCTATTGATTAATACACAGTTTAGTACACGGCAATATATCATTAATATTTATTCATATATTTATACTTTATTGTACACAAAGATCACATTGTTGCAATTTATTTTGGACAAAGATGTACAACAGGCGAGCTTAAAATTACTCCTTTAACTTCTATTACTCTTATTAGCTCTTTTTATTATTATTGTACTGATTTATTAAAAATTGGTATGGAGCCCTATATCAATTTTCCTTAAATATCTTCTATGAACAAAAATAGTCAAGTTACAATTTTTATTATATTATGTAGATTAGTTGTTTTGCCCTCGACGTCGCTCACATGGCGAATTATTTTTTATTTTTCACTGAGAATAAGAATATTTTTATTTATTTATTCTTTATTAATCATATTACAAAAAAAAAATTAGTACAAAAGGCGAACTTAATGCAATTTTTCCAAATATTGAAAAAAAGATTCCAATATCTTTAATAAATTATTAAAGATATTGGAATCTTTCTTTCAATATTATATTTATTTAATAATTTAAAAAGAACTAGAAGAATTTTTGGCTGTCGTCTGTGTGTCTATCTGTTTATCCCGGTAACACGCAAAAACTATAGCACTAAATAGAATGCGATTTCCATAATTGTATTACTGGAGGCCTAACTTATAAACTGGTGTATGTCTTATTTTGCTTCTGGAAATAGTTACTGATTAGTACATCTCCACACGTACAAAATTGCGGGTAAATGATAATTTAATAGAAACTTATTCTATATAGATAGAATAAGTTTTTATTAGATAAATGTATTACCATACAGTCTAAACCACAGATATAAATTGAAATAAATAATAAATTAGGCTTATGTTAGGCCCATAAAATATCAAATTCAAGTTTATTTAAAAATATCAAACTTAATGTATTCAATATTGAGTTCCTACATAAAATGTAGGTATATCGAAAAAAGTTTAAAGAATTAACAAACATAATATTTGCAAATGGTATTTTAATAGATTTAATTCGTGAGCAGATTTACTATAAATACATATAATTTGTAACGTTAAATTATTTTTATGTGGATTTATAAAAATCCTAAGGAAATCCCGATACCTTCACTGATGATTAATATTAGTCATTTTGTTAATAAGATGTATAACATTAAATTATTGAAGGAATATTTATTTTTATATATACATATATAGAACTATTATTATACTGGGTTTGTGTATGCAATATACAAAAGCTACTGGAATATTTTAGATGAAAATTACTGTGGGCAATAACGTAATAACTGGGTTATAATTATAGAATATTTTTACTAATAGAAAATGTATTCATTTGCAAAGAAACACGAACTGCAACAACGTCGCTTAATCCCGTGGAACAATTATGAACCAATTCCAAACTGTATGTAATGTACACAGTTTTTAAAACCTTTAAATAAATACAGTAAGTATTTTTTTCTAATACCATTATTATTTGTAGCTCAATATCAAAAGTATGAATTTACGTTCAAACATAAAAGAACAATAAAATCCCTCTATGCGAACACATGTGGTGAATTTATATTTTATGTTACGATATTGTATAATAGATATATAATAGACAATTTCAATAAGCAGAGTCTTTAAATAATAATATATTTAAGAACGAGGTAATCATACTTACTATTCTATTTTATATAATAAATAATAAAAAATAATAAAGTTTTATTACCTAAGACTGGTCCAACGATGAACATATATGCAAACATTATTAGTATTATATGCATTCGTTTCTTCCCTTCGCGTGGCTTGAATGCAACATTCACAGTTGCCACTAGGTCTTGCGTCGAAAACACTGACATTATACTACTTTTTTCACCCTCGACTTTCTTTTTAGTCTTTTCCTTCAGTCTCACAACAATATAAACAAAACCAGCTAAATAGAACGCGCAAGCAACCGTAAACACACCGTAGTACCCGAAACGCTTAGTCATAATTCCACTAAGAGCAAGGCCTATAGGTCTACTTAGTGTTAAAATTGATGTTATTATCCCTAAACGGTAAGTTCTCTCAGCGTCACTGGTAATGTCAGTGATGTAACTGTAAACAGCCATGGTCATGGCCACTCGTCCACCAGCCAACGCTGGTGGTAGTCCTTCGATGAGGGCAGTTTCGTTTAAACCTATCTGCAGGAAGAACACTGTAGTCAATATAATACCTATAACAGATATCAGTTTTCCAAGTATTGGCAACACTAAGAAAGCCTTTCGGTTCCCAGTGCGGTCGCTCCATGCGCCTACAAAAAGAGTCAATATGCCTGGTAATGCCGTTTGCAGTGGAAAACTCCAGGCAGTCATCCCTGCTACCATGGTTTGTACTTTTCTCTCTTGTTCCGTATAGTTGTGTGTGTGCCCTTCCATTATATGTGTGCATGTTTCCTGGTCGTATTGTAGATTTACGAGACATGATTTCTCAAGGCACAGATTTTGCACAGCCAACCCTGCTAGTACACTTGGAAGTACGTAACAAATAACGAAAGGTTCTACCGTTATTTTCGATCTAAATGCCCAAGATTCTTTAATGAATTCCTTTATACGCTGGCTGAACTTTGATTCAGCTTTCGCTTTTTCAGGTCCGTACGCTTTGTTGCACTTACATGGTTCCACATTTACAATCTTTTCTCCGAGTACTTCGACTCGCAACGTCATTTTTACAACGATTTTCCACTATATTGTTCATTTGATTTTAAAATACAAACAACATAATTTTTTTATCGCTCTATATTTTTAATTTTTTTTTCTATTTAAATTTTATCACAATATTGCATGAAAGGTGCTTAAGTGTTTAGTAACGTGCGAAGAGTTGCGCGTGCGGCGATCGATTGCGAGAAGGTGACGGGTGTCTCCGGCAACTTTTGCTCTTGCACTGATTATCAGCTGGTTGTTGTGGTACTTTAATTTGTACTTTGCCATTGTTATCATATCACGTGGGCACAGTAAGCATTCGGTTGAATGTATTAGAACTTCAATTAAAATTTGTCATTATAAATCTTTATGCTAATACTACTTAATATATTACTCTCCTTCGTTATTTACTTACATAATTATGTTATTTAGGAGAATTTAATAATTGTCTACCTACTTCAAAAATGATTTTCTCTATTTAGAATAACTGTTTATTTTTTTAATAGTGTTTTTTGTTTTGAAACACTTGACTCCTGTTTTGATCTTATATAAATATTGAAATACAACAATACTACACAGAAATCAATTTTCTTTTTTGGACAATATCTTGAAATGTTATTTGTTAACTGGGTTCATTAAAGTATCTTAGGCTAATATTAGACTAATTATTGAGATGAATAAAAATATTTCTTAATGAATATAATTAAAATTTCTAACGTTCTTGATAAGATAGCGTAATCATCACACCAATCGGACACACCATTTTTGTTTATGCATGCTTTTTATAATTATTGTGGCAATTTAATCTAATTATAAAATAGTAAAAAAATAATTATTTGAATTAAATCAAATCGGTATTATATCTACTACACGTCTTTAAATATGAGTTATATTATAATGCGTTTCATTATTTATAAAAGTAAATGAGGTTACTAACCAACATTTGATGTTCTGTGATTTTAAAGGATTTGTAGGGTACCCTTATTTCAGTATTAACCAATTGATGTGATAGGGTATTTTTATGTTGCATTATTTTGTTATTATTTTTCTCATCTTCGCATGTTTGCTTGTTTTATTTATTTATTATTATTTATTTTCTGTATTTGCCATTGTACAAATTTGACAAAAAAATATTTATACATTTTCTTAATAAAATCATAAACTCAGAATTGACATAAATACATAAAAATAAAAAATAATGCAATAAAGAAAAAAGGTGTGTAAGTACTATTTACCTGCAAAATTTTTTATCGTGCTAATTTTCGATAGTGCATATACATATATATAGCAATTTTATAGTTCAGTTTTATTTCATATGATTAATATAGGTTGTTATATATATATATATATATATATATATATATATATATATATATATATATATCATGCTACTCATATAATCATATGAGTAGCATGATACCGATCATATGAAGAAGTGAAGATTGTAATTCTAGACAGGAAAGACTTTTTAACCCTTCTTTGCATAATGGTGGAAATTTCCATCATAACATTGAATGCCCAAAAATTATATAAAAGACTAAGTTCACTTTAAGTTGATCATGTCAGGATACCTTTTTAGTGTCCATTGCGAAAAAAAAAAATATAGCTGTCAAATTTATTTTTTAACCATTTTTCCTTTAATTTTGAACATGAATTATATGACCTTAATTTATTTCACCAATAACAAAAAATCATGCAAAGAAGGGTTCATTATATATTTTGTGAGTCTATTAAGAAGCAGTAATGCATATGTTATTTTGTTTTAGTAAATAGATTAATATATAGAATATATTTTTAATAAAAAAAGGAATATCTTGAGTCAAATTACTTAAGCTAATATGTTAAGAGGATGAATTTTTTTATTTACATTTTTAACCTGAATTTGGAGTAACGTTATTTAGCATTTTTATTACCAACTTAGCGTATATTAGACGTATAATAATTAATATTACAAATACGTCAGCGACTTTCCATTCATACGTTTTATTCGCAGATTTTATGTTATTTTATTTACTTCAGGGTTTTTATTATTATTTAAAACTTATGAAAACAATTATAAAATGTATTTAAAAGGTAATGACAGGTAAGTACAAACAAATATTAAGGACATCGTTGACAATAATAGCATATTATCTCACGTAATATATATGCGTCCCAATTTTTCAACGGGTCAAAGAAAAGTTACGCAATGTAAATTGGTCGCCATTGGCACTGATTATATTTGAAGAATGCGTGCATAATCAAATGCAATATTTGTTTCAAGGTTTGTTAATAAGAGATTTAAATTGGACATAATTTTATTTACGTATCGCCCGTTTGACATCTGGCAGGCGTAACAGAATTATCCGCAATGAATCAAATATTGTTGTAATTTTTAAATTAAGTATTAGTTTAAAATTTGTAAACACTAAACCTCTTTGTTCATAAAAACGTAAAAACTATTATAAACCTATTTTAGTTACTAAACTGTTTTGTCTCTTGTTTTTCAACAAAATTTTCAATTTGCATGAAAGTGACAAATAATTAAAGTGGGGTTTGCAGGAGGTTTTAGTTTTCATGAATCAGGGGGTTATAACATAACAACCTTCTGAATCATGGTATTTTTTATAAGTATATGTAATTTAATGTTACGGCATACTCAGACCAGAAGGAGCAGAGGGAGACTTCGTACAAAAGTCATTTGCTTGAGCACCTCTGTCCCATTCGTGTTTCTACCGTGAAGCAGGTGTTTGCATGTTTCGGTTTGAAGGGTGGCATATGGCAATGAATTTACAGGGTACAGAGGAACACCCGAGTCCTCAGGAATGACAACGCATGGGGAGTATCATGAGCGAAACAGTATACTCTATTATATCCATTGTACTGCTCATGTCTATAGGCGACGGTTACCACTTTCCATCAGCTTGTTTGTCATTCTAAATTGCATAAAAAAAAATCAACACACTCTTAAATATGGCTATATTTTATATATGGCCGTATTTAAGAGTGAGCTGACATAAGAAATATATTTCAAAATAATATACAACTTATCATAATTAATAAAGTATGTGAATAAATAAATAAATAATACTGGATATAGTATCACCATGTAGCCATCTAGTTCTAAACTAAATAATTAAATAATATAAATGATTAACGAAGAAAAGCAAGAAACATGTCACTAAAATATAAAACAAAATCAAAAACCAAGTAAAGTGAGATAATAAAAAAGGATAAATTTGTATGAAAAGAAATTAAAAGTAATAGCAAAATGCAGGAAGATATGATAATATGACTGAGAATATTAGAATAAGAATAGTAAATGAATATATTTTTTTATTTTTATTTTTTTATTTTGAAGCATTTTAATAAAATGTTAAAGGAAAAAGAAATGTCGAAAGAAAGGAAGAAGAAATAGCGATCGAGAAAATTAAAAAAAGACCTGAATATACGAAAGTCCGGAGAAAGTTGAAATCTTATACCAATTACGGAATACAAATTTATTGCAATTTTGAATTGAATATTTTTAACTAAGTAATTAATTACTTGAAAACTTTATTACATCAAGGACATATTTAAAAATCTACATTTATATACTATATACAAGATAAATATATATTTACATATATATTTATTTTTCACTATATTAAAATTGTTGGCTAGATTAATGCTAATCATTAATTGATAAGAAAATCTCTCATTTCTTTTAAAATATATTATATGATCATATTATATGTTCTATGTTTAAATTATATAGATAAAACATCAAACCTCAAAAACGGGTCAATTTAAAAAAAATTACAGTTAGCTGACAAAAAGCTAACTCGTTTTTTTAATCAGTGTTCTATATATTTACGTATAAAATGTATCTTGACATATTATTTAATAAGTGAGTGTTCACGCATTAAAAATATGTAGAAATTGTGAAACAAAATAAATATAGAAGTTTATAAAGGAATCACTCATAACTACTTATCATCCAAAATTGTATGAAAAAGTTGACCCGTTTTTCTCCAAGCATTTCTATGGAGACACTCTATCTATATAATCTAAGGTCCTATGTAATTTATGTACATATATCATGTCTTTAAGTATTCCTGCATAAATTTAATTAAGTCATTAGTGTATGTAATTGTGAACTACCTATCAGTCTTTATCATAACAATACTTTGTAACGTATGTAATGTAACATTTCAACACTACTTGTTGGCTAAAATAATTTTGTTATTTACCAATCGCTCATTGCAAAGTAGTTACAGCACATCCTATTATCATATTAAATGTACATAATATGTTATAGGCACTATTATTAGTATTATTATTAATTAATTAGGTCTTTGTAACACTCGTAGGAGGGTTTAGGTAGGGGATGGTTCCCTTTAGTGAGAGGCTGGAAGTGTAAACTTCATTTGTATTATTTGGTTGTCCTCTTCTCTGATTATCCAGAGAAGAGGACATTCTTCCTCTCACGGTTGTTACATTTACTTGTTCAGTAATAGTAAAACTATTAATAATATAACTATTATTATATTGTCTATGAAAAAAAAAAGTGTTACAAAGCACCCGTATTTGCGTAATTTACGCCAATATTGATGCTTGATGGTGTTGTACTAAATTAAAAAGCGGTATAGTTTTGTTCTGTGCAATGAAATGACACCAAATACAACCTAGTGCATTTAAGCCCAAGAGCGTATTCGAATTCAACGTATTTTTGATTCCCAGATGAAGTGCAATAAGTAATTTCACGCTGGGATTCCAAGTAGGGTTCCTCGGTTACTCGTATAATAGAATTGTAAGAAAGAAATGTCGGGTTCTGAGTTCAATTTAGAAAAAATCAATGGAATTTCATATCGGGGTTTCAAGTACGGTATCTGTAATAGAATTGTATGAAATGAAATGTCGGAGTTCTGAGTGCAGTTTAAAAAAAAAATTGAATCGTATGAAATAATTTTATTAGTATCTATTTAGACACACATAAACTTAATACCCATATTTCAGCAGTTTAGAATTTAATGTTTAGTTAAGAAACGAGTTTTAATAGGAAAATATTTTGTAATATTATTATGTAATATCTATCCTATACAATGTATTTTGTACTTTGGATAAATAAATAAAAAAAAAATACTAATATAGAATCCATGAAAAAGGTAAATTATTAACAATGTTAAAGTATTAATTAAAGCGTTTTTAATATTTGGAATTATATATATACTATTATTCCAACATGATCGTAACTCATGTATTAACTTTAAATTAGGCAAACCCATTTAATTTTTATTTCAATTA